ACCATTATTTTTCTTCTTTGATAGAATTTCCAAAAAAATGAATTCACGATTCATCTTTATGAATGCATTTCAGATTGTTTAAAAGTTAAAGATAAATCTTCACGCTTTAGTAAAGGAATTCTTGAAAGACCATTTTATTTGGCACTAATTGAAATGTTGACAAATTGTTTTGGGAATGGAGGAAAATTTCCTGATAACGTTAAAAAAAGTAAAGTTTTTATGCTAGAAAATATAAATTTAACACGGTAAAAATAATAACAATAATAATGATTTAAATTAAAAAGAATATACTTATTTGAAAATAATCATTTAAATTTTAATTAGTAATTAGTAAATTAATAAACTTTTAAAAAAAGTTTAGATTAGAAGATATTGAAAATGAGATGAAAAAATTAATTGATTTGTGGAATGGATTTCCAATTATATTTCAAAATTCTCATAAATCGATGATCAAAGAATTTTTATTTGGTGTAAGTATCATTAATATTGCTAATTATAAATAGAAGATAATTAATTTCATATTTTTCTTTTTTTGCAATTAAGTTTTTAAATTTTGAAGATTTAAACACTTTCTTGGGGTTAAAGACAACTTTTAAATCATCATCACACCTTCCACCATCATTTAACGAGTGTGTTGAGTCATTTACAAGGGTTTATATTAAAAAAAATCAAAAAAAGAATCCCAGGAATCCTAATAGTAGTAATATATTAACAATTGGTGGTAAAGCATTATCAAAACATTCTCATCGTGACAAATCAACTTTATTTTGGGGAGTTTGTACTGGAAGTTAGTAAAACAATTAAATATTAATTAAATTTATTCTTTAATTCATCAACAATAATGATATTAATAGCGCTCTTAACGCTACTATTATTATTCAGCTGAAAGCAAAAAAAATGAACAAGCAAATCATGTTTTAGCTAAAATTATAACAAATGCATCTTGGGTGAATTTACATTCACTTCCAGTAAATGTCTATTTTCAATTTTATCACTTTAATTTTATATCAATTATTATATAATTATTGATGTTAATAATATTCTTTACATACATACATAAATAATAGCACGATATACTTGTATATGAAATACGTAATGATTTAGGGTATGGTGCTCGATGGGAAATCAATCGAAATAATAATATGAATCAAGAAGATGGTGATGTTGATGATGTTAATGATGTTAATGAGAAAAGGACAAAAATTATGTTTCGTGGTTTTTTAGAACCACAGATGGAAAATGGACATGCAAATAAATGGATTCATTAATTATATTTTATTATTATTTATTGCTTATATAACTTTTTGTTTTTTTGTTTTTATAATAGTTAATCTCTTTATCATTACATTTATCTAAAATAATAATTTTTATTAATTAATAGGAAGCATGCGGGTTCGAATATACTTCAAAATTACAACGTATGTTTACTGATATGGGTTTAAGTAAGGACCTTAACGATCAATTTAGAGAAAGACATTCAGTAGAACAAGTAGATAATCAAGGTAAATCAATATATCTTTGAATGGATCATTAATAATAACGATCAATGATGAAGGATATTTGTAATGGAAAGAAGTCAAATTTTCAATTAATAATAATAATAGTTGTAATAGTTGTAATAGTAGTTAGTAATAGTAATAACATCAGGATGTTCAATTTATTCAGGAGTTGAACGACTCAACAAAATATATGTTAATTGATTGATTTTTTTAAAAAATAATTTATAAACAGTCGACTTTTCGGTTTTAGTATTGGGTACTGCATCTTGGCCACTTCAGCCCTCCACAACAAATTTTAGTATCCCAGAAGAGGTATCTATAATATAAAATTATAATTATAGATTTATAATAAATGATTGCAAATTTATTCATAATTCTTCTTTAATAAAATTATTTATTTTAAAAATAAAGGTTGAAAGAACATTTCAACGATTCAAGATTTTCTATCAAAATAAACATTCAGGTCGTAAATTGAATTGGCTTTTCCATCTTTCAAAAGGTGAATTAAAAGCTAACTACTTGAAAGCAACAAAAACGGGATATACTTTTCAGGTTTTTTGAATATTTTTAATTAATTAAAGTTAGAAGTCGTATGTTATTTCAACACAAAAATAATATATTTATATATATTAATGTATTTCTAAATTTCTAAAAGGTATCTACATACCAGATGGGTATTCTTTTGCAATACAATAAAGATACATCTTATTCATTTGAAGAATTGAGCCAGAGCACGGATTTAAGTACAGATGTATTATCAGGAC